CCTCCGAGTTTATCAGTACCCAGAGGGGCTCCTGGTGGCCCGGTTTTTAAATGAAAACAGAGATGCGTTCTGACACGTGATCGCGGACGAGCTGACGGAGTCAATTTAAAAGGCGTTCCAGCAAAATCTAACATAATCGGATGAAAGCGAACAAGTCACCCCCCTCTCACCTCCTGCACTGCCATCCTGTGGAGGGAGGTCATCATTACACATTCATTCATGACTTCACAGCCCTGCAGGGCCTCGGTCACAAAGGTGACATGTGATTAGAGGTGCCGGTCCAACAGGAAAGCCCCTGTGACCTGGCTGGACTTGGCTGGCATTACCACCACGCTGCTTAGTCACATGACTTCCCCCCCTCCCTCCCCCCTCATCTGCCGTCCACAGCCCTGTGGCACAATCTTGTTCAGAATGACAATGAGCTACTGGGGCTTAACTATAGACCACTTTGTATCCTCTGTGCATTTCGCCGCCATCTAGTAGCAGAAGAAATCAGCAGACAGGAAAGATTTAGTGGGGGGAGATAATTATTCAGGCTGATTATTAGTCAATTATGGTTACTTTACAGGACATTTGTGTGCTGGAGTGGGAGAGACTAATTCTATGCTCAGTGATGTTTCGATAATATACTTCACGCTGGCAAATGAATGTAGTGCATGTAAAACAAGTCCATTTAAACCACTATATTGTGGTTTTTCGCTATAATAAATGAATATCCAACCATGTTCTGTCTAGCAAACGTACAGTGAAAATAGGAGTATTGGGTGTCGGATCGCTTACAGCGAAAGGAGCTCCTGTGAATGAACTAATTACTAACCATGGGGACTTGGCTTAGGCCTGATGAGAAACTCGACTTTAATTGAGTCCTACCCACCCAGTTTATGTAGGGGGGGGGCGGCCGCTGTGTAATTTATGAGCCCGGACTCCACATTTTGCTCCGAAAACAAGCCGTAACTTTGACTCTTTTGAAGTGCTGTTTTCTTGCCTGTTGCCTTGGCCGCTGATGATAATAAATGTCTCCTCTGCCCCAAACTCCTCTCCGCTGGTCACGGGCTACCAGCCGCACATCCCATCCTCTGGATTAATAGGCAAATTGGCCTCTTCTCCACTGCTAGGACTATATTGGCAAGAAACGTGCATTCATATCGATAGTTCATGCAATAATCCTCAGCCCATATTTATATATGTCCTTGATTCTATTGTCATCATGTAAAACTTAACAGGCCAAACTAATTATCACAGCCACCTTCCTGATCTGGTCTGAATATATGGAATCAACGTTCAGCATTTCTATACTTTGGAAAAACCATGTTTGAATGATCGAACTCTTTCTCATTACAGTGGAACTGTAAAGTGATCCGGTGAAATCACTGGAGAAGTTTTGGGCTCGGGCTTGGCTCCGTTACTGGTCTTGCCGCTTACAGATATGATTTCTGGTGGCCCTTTTTCCAGCAGCAAAGGTCTTTGACTGATGCCTCATCAAGCACAGGTTAAGGATCTGCATAAGGATTTTCCTGCCAAAGCTGTACAATGTACACTATAAAAACGGAACCAGAGTAAGGGAGGATAGGCAACGAAAAGCAGCCCAGGAATTTGCTGTCAAGCGGCCTCAATGTGATTCTTTGCCAGCGACCGGGGGGGTCCCCAAATTCCCACTGGCCAGTCCACACCTGTCGCCTAGTATAAAATTTGGGCTTCTCACTGAATACAACACAAATAGTTCTCTGCTTTGCCTGGAACGATAACCAAGTAAACTAGTTCTCCCTGTGTCAACACACCTCCAACTGATGCTAATAACTAATGCTAACACAAACAACGATATGTGTTCTAACATATCCACTTTTTGACTAGATCCTGTGTTGGGAAACCCACACTATAGATTACAGATTATAAATACATCCTAAAGTCTCTTAAGACAGCTGTAATCATGCTCCAACTCAAGAAGCCTAATCCATTTTGATCTATGCACTTAGGGAAGGACTAGGCTTGGCATTGGGGGTCCATCACTGCCCTCTGCATGATGCTGCCCTATGAACATATCAATCCCAAGCACAGCAACTACTATTACCACACATATGACACGTAATTCAATGCAATGTCAGAACAAGTGAAATAATTCAGTGCTCTGAGCTTTAAAACGGTACTAAGGACATTAGAGATCAGATGACAGAACTTCCTCTGGCTGAACTCAATTATGTCAGTAACCTCAGCTCAGGCTCACATTCTCAGACATTAAGGTGAATCTGGAGGGCATCTGTGTTAATACAGCTTCCTCTATAAAAGATCGTAGTCTTGCAGTTGATAAGTTCACCCTTTACGTGAGAAATATTACCTGTGTCTTTGTTTCATGTTCGGAGCACAGTCAAGGTCAGAAAAACAATGTCTGCAAACTGTACCTAGCATTGGGGCATGGCGTTCATTACTCAGGACTCGATTATGGAGACACCCGGCTCTCCGGCTGCACCAACGCCTCCCTGACATATCACCAGCCGGTACCGAATGAGGTCTCACTGGAGGTAAAACGTGGGAGCACATCAGTCCTTTACTTACCTCTTATGTGGGCTGCCTGTCACACTCACAGAGCAATATCAAATAGCACTTATCACCTCTGACGGACTTGCACTAATGTAACCGCTTGCCCCGTAACCAGACGGACTTGCAGGATTCAAACACACACTATATATTTAACCCACTGGATAATCAAAATCGGCCAATTCGACCCCCTGAATCCTCCTAAAACGGTGGAGAACTCAACCCCCCCGATGTTCAACCCAAAGTTACTTAGTTTCTACATAGAGGTGCTACTGAAGGACCGGATTATCTGCATCATGTGTGTTACATTAGGGCGGCACTTAAGCTCCACAGGGTGGTAGATGTCCTGGAGCAGGGTTGAGCAGCCCTACTCTAACCCTACCTGTTTGGTCCTCCTGCTTCTGGCGCTGAGAGGAGGATGAATCTCAGCCACACAGCTATTTATGAGCCCACGTCCCAGACGTTGCAGGCGATTAACCCTATTAGCGGCTGTCTGTCATGCATTGCTGCCACCATCCTGACTCCCCCATGATGTAAATACCCCAGTTTTCATCTTTTCATTATGCTGCCATAGTCATCTTCACCGTGACTGTTTTGCTCCTGGTTAACTCCACTTCTTAGTCCACCCCCCCCACCCCCTCCACCTCCACCTCCCACTCCATCTGGAGCCTGAGCTTTCAAATCGTCCACCACACTCAAGCAGGCCGCCCGTCTATGGAATGGATCCACGTGTTGATCAGATTCAGCACAGAGAGCATCTCTCTCCTCTCTCTCCACCACCAAACCACAGTCACTCCCCCGCAAAATGCTCTCGCTTATCTTCGAGACGTTTTAATGCTGAATACAACTGAATTTCTTATTTGTACGTTATATAGGCACCATTTTCCAAAAGTCAAACTCAATTTCCTTTAAAGAGGCCAGGGATTAGTGTTCAGTTTTCTCCATAATTCTTGGCACTTTCCCAGATTCATTCTAGAAAAATTACTGTAAATCACTGTAAAGGATTTGTGACAAATACTCAATACAGAATAAATATTGGATTGGGTAGGTGCTCCTTGAAACAATATGAATAAAATGTTACAAGTCAGGTTGGAAATTCTTTACCTCCTCACTTAACTGACATGAAATGTTTGTTTGACCCCGTAGGTGCATGTGCGGCCAGCAATATGAGGCAAACCCCCACCCATGTCCCCTTTGCGCCTCTATAACCGATGGAATGCCTCCCGCCCTCCAGGGGGCAGTGTGGACAAAGCAAACAAGGGCATAGCGCCCCGCTCCCCGTGGATCCCGACAAGAGAGGAGGAAGAATGACAGGGTGATAACAGAGGATGGGCCTGGGACCAGGGAATTCCCATTCACGTAATTATGCATTTTCCGGACGCTTCTCGCCAGGGTGACCTACATAGCTCTGACTGAGGTTCATAACCTGAACTACAATTAGAGGGTAACACCCTTCCTTCTATGTCCTGATTGGCTCTCTTACGTCATGCTGGAGGTCAGCAAGTAAAGCACAGCTTTATGAAGAAAGCCACACAGGCAGAGATGCAAAGACTTCAGAACATGGGTCATCCTTGACCTTACCTGCTCTAGATGTGCAATCACTAGAGGCATCAACAGCCACACATCATTTTTGGTTGTAGGAATTTAGAGTATACTGCAAAAAAGAAGGATTTTTAAAACACTGATTAACCAATCACCACCATCTGTAGCAGTCACATGGTCCAATCCTTTTGTTTACCCATGAAGCCAGCAAGGAGTATACCATTGTGCCTCTGAGGTTGAAGGTTAATTAAGAAGCAAGATCTTCTCATCAAAGCTTATTTACCCCACACGTGTGTGTGAAACTCGAGCCATATCGCCCACCTGTGGGGGATGCTGGCATTGCGGTCCACCGTGTTCCCAGTCCGTGCCTCGAGCCACTCTCTGAAGAGGTGAGACGACGGGAACACAGCCCTGTGACGTTGGGCCACAAAACTCATTAGAAAGTTCCAGGAGCTAAGGGGCCAATTAGACTCCACTCATTTCCTACCTGCGCATCGAAAACACTTAACAGTCATTTTTCATTATTAATACTGCAACACCGCTGACCGGGCAGAAGCAGATTTAATTCGATCAATTAACCTCACCGCAGAGAGCCCTGTGGGTCTGAAGCCCCGCCCCTCCCCCGTGAAGTTGGTATGGTCCAGGTGGGGGAGACACTACCGTTGCATGAATATTAATTCTCACCTCCGCAGTTCGGGGAGGTCCGGGGTGAAGGTGCAGGTGAGGCCTTCGCCCCCGGGGTGTGCCCCCTGCTCCGCCGATGACCCTGTGCCCCGCTACCAGCACATTCGCCGGCGGCTCGTGAATTTAGCACGTTCAGTCCAGCCAGCTATTTCAGGAGCCCATTTGCAGTCTGGAATCACACATCGAATCGAGTTTGAGGACACTTCACAGAGGGAGGAAAAACCATCCGTACACACAACACGTTTTCGGTTTTCCCTCTCAAAGTTTATTTATTCTTCGTTAACATGTACAAAAATAAACGAGACGCCAATCTGGTACCGTTTCCGAAGAGGCCAAGCCCCTGCTAGCATGGTAGCATAGAGCTACATACTGCCGCTTATGAAAAGAAAAAAAATCACAAGATGTTTGACACGAGAGAGACACAAAGGAGCCGTGCACCGTCTGAGATGGCCGACTGGGGACGGGGCACCACCCCCGATCCTCAAGACTGTTGGAGTGAAGTGCACAAAGCAGTAGGCGCTATGACAGTCCAAAGCTTCCAATCTGGAATGTTCCTCTCGGGATCAGAGAGCCCCTGCCGGTTATCTGAAGATCAGCCCGCACTTTAACATAGCTACCTGTTGGTGGCGCTCAACCGGCGCTGTTCAAAGCAGCAGGGGCTCACCGGGAGCTGGCTCTGTAGCTGTGACCCACCCTGAGTTCTGGTCCCCACAAAGGAACCCCCCCCCCCTCCATGGATCCCAGCACTGTGGTGACACCCCCCCATACATACACAGCTCTAGGCCAGACGTTGCACTAAACAACATCCTCCTAAAATGTGGCTCCCTGTGAGAGATCAGTACAAAGATCCACAAAATCTTAAAAATGATTTCCTTAATGCCCTTACGTTTTAAAATATTAATAACTTTAAATTCTCCTTAATTATCATAATCTCTAAACAGAATTCAGAGAATTACTGCAACCTTCCTGCAGTCTTCCTGCGCTCCTGGTCCAAAGGGAACGAAAAGCGTCTGACAGACACACTGACTTCTGTCCTGCGGTCCCCAGGATCGAGGATCGGGGCCGATTCCCAGTGGAAGGAGCCGCACGCTGAAACGAACACAGCTGTAGCCGTAACCGGCTTCCCCGTGAGCGTCTGTTTAAATCCGTGGACCACGGTAATCGAGACATTCATGTTTCTGTAGTCGCACGCCAAACACCTCCAACCTGGCTGGATTTAGCAGACCCAGCAGGCCTCATAAGCCTGGTCCTGAAGCGAGAAGCTCCGCCTTCACTTCCCGCCACTTATGCAAATAAGACGCCCGGAAATCTAAAGGAGAGGCGCTTGTTTCACATCTGGGGGAAAGTTAGTTACAGGCTGCAGTCACACGCCATTTGTGAGATTACTACGCAGCCAGAACGTCATTCACAAGACTAAAAAATTACAGCCCCATCCTAGAACATGGCAGATATTAGAATATTTAGCTGAGGGTCATGAATTCCAGGCATGAATTAATATTTAGGTGCGATTTCCCTCCAGTAATATATAACAACAATGAGTCAGAAACGGGGCAGCCACCTGAAGCTCGGTGACACCAAAAACGATGTGGCACTTTTAAAATGAACGAATGCAGAGAGCAGGGCAGGGATGTCACTCCGCCCAGGCTGGCACGATGGGGGTGGGGGGTGCATGCCAACCACTGAATTAACTTTTTTTGTGCTTGTGAAACTGGCATAGGACTAACCGTCCTGCTGATCTCCAGGCCCGGGGGGGGGGCGTACACAACCTCTAAAATGTTAACATGTATACTGAAGAGATCAGTAAACTTTCAGATCTTGTGTGGATGTACAGTACAGCCGAAAGCGCAAGGCCTTCCGACACTGTAACGGAAGCAGGATTTACCCGGTGGGGGGACACAGCTTTGCCAGAAACTCCCCCCCCCCCACCCTTATTCTCCGGTCACCCATTCCTCCGAGTTGTTAGGGACACGCCCCCCTTCGCGGCATCATTGCCCCCCAGCCCCCTCTACACCATGACTGACTCCCCCCAGGTCACTCGGAATCCCTACAAACCAGAGCCCGCCCCCCCCCCAGACATTACCACTCCTGTTTCCGACACCATATCCAGCGTCTCCTGACTTTCGCTTTCGCGGCAAAAAAAAGAGAAGAAACGGTTAATAAGTCCCTGCTCTGTGTTAGACGGGCTGATCAGCAGTTTGCACACTCCCCCAACGTCCTGCTGACAGACCAGCGCTCAAAATGCTTATCGTCACAAAAAGAGGCTCGCACGCCCTCCCCAGTAATACCGGCAGAGGAGAGTTCCACAATAGCTACCGTGTAGACAAACGTCCCTCCCCCGCTTTCCCCCACCATTACGGGAGGGGGGGGGCAGAGTAGTTCAGAAGAGCTGCAGTAGGAACTCCGGCGCCCACTCCAGCGCAGTCTGTGCCACGGCCAGAGCAGCGGCTCCAAGGGTGGCGGAGATGCCCCACACGGCTGCCTTTAACAGCGGGCTGCTCCCAGAAGGCGTGGCCACATCAGGGGGCGGGGCCAGGGCAGGGTCACGCTGGTGGAGCTGCTGACGCAGGATGGCGTCTGGCCGCTGGTGGAGGGTGGCCAACTGGAAGCCCTCGAAGCAGTTAAGGGTGATGCTTGGATGACGGACAGGGAGAGAGAGAGCGCGAGTGAGAGAGAGCAAGAGAAAGAAAGAGAGAGAGCGGAAGAGTGAGAGAGAGAGAGAGCGAGAGAGAGAGTCATTACTCAAGTGTACAACAGCAGGGCAGCTACTGGGAACAAGCAGCTTTTAGCTGTCCTTAACTGCTACGCCTCCTATTGGCCAAACGCACAAACAACCCAAGAGCAGCTTTTCAACTTTCAAGCATGCACCATTTTCAGGAAACCTTAACTTTCACTAAAAAACATGTCACAAATGAAAAATTTTTAAGGGATTGACCCTTTAAGAAATATGTCCTCCATGTCCTCTAATCCAGCGGAAATGAATCATATTCATCATCTGCTATCTCTGTGCTTCAGATTACTCGGGTGTCAAACTTCACTTAGCACTCCAGAAAGGTTAGGGGGGCTATGAATATTTGCATACGTCTTAAATTTAATTTTGACACCCCTACATGCGTGTACACCCCGCACCCCCACCAAAGCAGGTCAGAAACCTGGGTGATATACGGGGGAAATTTTAATTCAACAGTTTGGAATTGCGTTTATGGTTATAAATCTCATTAAAAACTCATAAAATATTCACCTCTCCCCCATTATCCCCCTGCCAGACGCACTGTAAACACGGCGCAGAATGAAGTGCAGACGAGCCCCGCTGCGAAAACGCGCCCCTCTTCCCCGAGAGTGCGACAGCGGCGTGCACAACAGTGCCGTACCTTAAAGACTTAATTTCCTTTAAAATTAGACCTGATTCCACTCTCCGGTTTCTCATTAGGATCTGGATGCTAATGCTATAAAGCTGAGAATAGCTGACAGGTAACACTAGGGCAATTAACTTTTAAACTTCACTAGCTGAGACCTCAAGAGGCAGGTTTTCCCCGTAATGAAACGTGCTCATCGCAAACGGCCGATGGAGTGGCTTTCCCCCCACCCCCCCCCCCCCCCCCCCCCCCCCCAAGGGCCACCGTAACACTCCCCAGCCACCTGACTCCCGGACGCGATGCTCGCGTCACGCTGTAATTCTTCCTCTTGGCAGTGGAACGCAACCTGGGGGCGAACGAGACGTTTGATGTTTTTCCTGAGTCAGGGAATGAAGCCACTGTGTGCCTTTGCTCTGTATTTCCGGATCCCACAGACTCTCGCGCTCACACTCCTGGAACGAGTGAGTCACAGGATCCCAGCGCAGGGTGCGGGTCGTGTGGAAGGACCCGGAAGCCGGCAGGGGGGGGGGGACTGAGCCACACGCCACTCATGGCGATACAGCAGGAAAGCGGGCAGATTCGCACGTGACACTGACATCCGACAGGTACAGCACAGCCACAGACACACCCCAGCTTATACCCCCCCCTTCTCCTTCCCTGCCTTCTCCCCCCTTTCCTCCCTTTTCCCTACATCTCCTTTCCTACTCCTATTCTCCCTCCCTCTACTCATCCTTCTTCTCTCTCCTCTTCCTTCTCACTCCCTCTCCTTTTCTCACTCTCCCCTCCCTCTCTGCCACTCTCCCTCCCTTCTACCTCCCTCCTCTCCCTGCCCTCCTTCTCTCCCCTCCTTCTTCCTCCCTTCTCCTCCTCCTGCACCACCATCACTTTCCCTCCCTTTCTCCTCCCTCCCTCTCCCTCTACCCTCCCGCCCCTCCTCCTTCCTTAATCCTACTCCCCACAATCTCCCCTCCTTTTCCCTCCTATCCTTCTCCTTCCCTCTTTCTTTTCCCTCTCTCTCTCACCCACCCTTCCTCCCTCTCCTTCCCCTCCCCTCTCTCCCTCTCCCTCTCTCTCTCCCCCTCTCCCTTCCTCCCCCACTCTCTCCCTCCCCTCCTTCTTCCCTCTCTCCCTCCTATCCCCTCCCACTCCCTCCCATCCCAGTGTTACTGAGGCAGCCATTCCCCTTCACTCGCTCCCCGGTCACAGGGTGGGGATTTGGGCAGTGCAGAGAAGCAGCTCTCGCCATACAGCCCTCCCCACTTCAGACAGTCATTTAAAATATGGAGAGATGCCCACCAGTGGCAGTCTTCCCCTCTCTCTAGAGTACCGTGTTCCATCACCAGCTCCCGTCAGAGTGCTCGCTGTCCATTCAGCCACTCCCCCTGGAAGATCCCATTGGCTCCTGGAGGACAAACCATCACTGCCTTTGTACAAAGAGGCTGCTGGCCCATTGACTCACACCCCCTACAGGTCGAACCCTGAATAACGGGCTCTACCACGATACATGTTCCCATAATGAGTAACAGACAAACGCCAGCCAGGCATCACTGTACCGTAAAAAAATCTTCCACCAGCAGGGGGCAGTACAGTCTACCCACTTCAGACAGGGGTGTGACAGAATAAGCCAAAGTAAACTCAGTCACTTACAGCACAATCCCGGCCCGCGCGCGTGATGGGAGCAGTACCCAGCTGGGGCCCGGGGGAGGTGGGGGCACGTCCTGATAGGCTGATGGAGATTAACTCGCCAGCTGTGCCCCCCACCCCGCCCTTTGTTCATGGTGGGAGATGCTGCTCCCCCAGCACTCTGAGGACCCTTTGAAGTCCAATTGGTGCTTTCAGCCTGTATTGCCATAAAAATGAGGAACGTTTCGCCTGACTGAGGCTGTTCCTGATCCTCCAAGTCCCCAAAGGTCCCATTTTATTCAAGTCACATGCTGAGATCCAGTGACAAAAAGTTTGTTCCTGGCTGGAAGGGGGAGGGCAGAGTTGCGGGGCTGATTCAGGGCCGTTTTTTAGGGCATGAGGGGGGCGATTGAGTGAAAGGTTAAGATGGTGTGCACACACATTTCATCTCCATCGGGAACAATGCAAGTGGGGGACAGGCTGCAGCCCCCGCTCCGCCCCAAAGCCGGCACACAAACTACCCCCCCGGCTCCCTGCTGAGGCCCTACAGCCCCAAGAGGCCACAGATGCTGAGGGGAGGTGTAATTTATGCAAAATTAGGCATGCACATAATTACCACGGGACATGTCTCATTTATTGCACTGTTGCCCCCAAAAGGGGCCTTGAAGTCCCCCTTCAATGTGCAGGGGTGGGGGCAAGGGGAGCAGGAGCCAAAAGTGCAGAGAATTCCTCTTGCTGCACCCAACTGACATGAGAAGAAGGAAAAAAAACAAAAGAGTGAACCATACAGGGAGAACAGCAGCTCCATAAAACTGTGAAAGACTTTCTCCCTGTAGGAAATGACATCTGCAAATTCAATCTCGCAGCCAGACAAGTAAGGTTTATATCTGAAGGATTTAGATGCGACCGGGCAGGGCTCACACTGGTCACATTTCCATAAGCGGTGAAGATTAGCGAAAGCGATGAGGCCAGCAGCCGATTCCGTACTCCACAGCGCCACCGGCTGGCCGCATGCAGAAGAGCAGAACCCGCCATTTAGCCGCATGCCGTGCGATTTAATTAATACGTATGGCGATGCGCGATTTACGGGTGTGTGCCCTTATGTGAGGAGACGGGATGTAATAAGCAGCTTTTAACGCGGGTGTTTTTGGCCGACTGCAGGAACCCAGAGGCGTTAGCGATGATGCAGCGCAGCTATCAAAAGGCTTCCGTTAAAGTTTAATTCGCTGGTGCGACAAGAGCTGCGAACGCGACTTTCGCCGCATCTATTAAGCGAAGGATCGCCGAGCTGCTCGCGTAATTAACTGGAGCTGCTGGAGCAGAAGGCGGAGCGGGCGGGCGACGTGGAATCGGGGACACTGCGAGAGTGCAGCGCTGCCCCCCTCCTGAGTGGAGGACCCCCGCAGCGATCTGCCCGCCACCCCTCAATGCAGCCTCAGCCCCGCCTTAACCTTATGTTCTAACTTGCGATTTGTCAAGATATTTCTGTGAGGCACCAATGGGGGAGGGGGGGGGGGCGCCTGTTTGACTCAAGCCCCCAGGCTCTTAGCAGATGTCATCTTGCTTGGGGGGGATCTAGTGCTGAGCCAATCGGATGGCCCCAACTTCCACCAGTTAACCAATGAGATCCCGGCTTCAGGCCCATAGCTGAGGAGGATGGGTCCTTGGGTCTTCACCCACGGGGGTGAGAATTATCTCTCCCAGCTCAAGGCCCCCGCCCCCCCACTGCCCATCCCCCTCACCTGTGGCGGGACTGCAGGGCAGCCCGGCGGGCCAGTAGTGCAGGCGGGTACAGCGAAAAGAGTTCCTGGGCACGGCCGATGAGTTCCTCGTAGGGCAGGTTCTGCGGGATGCTGGAAAGCAGGTGGTGCACGCTGGCCATGTCGCAGTCACAGCTCAGCACCTGCTCCTGCCGGTGCAGGACGATCTGGGGGAGGATACACACAAACAGCCAGCCGTTTACCTCAGTGGCGGAGCGGGGGCGCCCCACACAGGGCTGGGGGTCTCACTGCGCCTTGATCCGCCTCTGCTCTCGGCCGCTTTAGTGAAGCCGTTATCACGGTCGGTCTGTCATCACCTGCTGCTCCACACGCTAAACACGTGTCAGAGCTGGAAAGGCTTGCAGACAGGCCCACGCCCATTTAAAGGGACAGTGCGGGGTGACCTTCATACCGATATTCCAGCATGCCCAGACTCCATCGCTGGCCATCGTGGTTAGGCCCCGCCCCTTCAGGGCGAAGAAGGGTTGTTCGGCAGCCAACCGGAAAACCCAACAGACAGGCTCATCACACTTCAAAAGGCAGGGGGGGGGGGCCCTTTTGGTACAGACCATGCATCTAAGGGGGGGCTCTCAGAAAACAAGAAACGATTCGCTAATCCAACACCCCCCCCCCCCCCCCCCCCAAAAAAAAAAAATAAAAAAAAAAAAGAGAAAAAAAAATGGCGAAAGTCTTCCAAACAAACCTCTGGTGAGATCATTAGGGCTGTGTAATTAACCGGGCAATGAGAGCTGCCCTCGATTCCCACGCGACGCCGGCAACAAAAAGGGGAGATTTTTAAATAAATAAAGTCATTAAAAGCCATGCCCTTCTCTGAAACTTCCACTGGGGTCAGCTACCGTGAAATCCCGTGAAGTGCAATTATTAAAGAAAGAAAAAATTAAAAGGGGGGGGGGGTGGAGGAGCGAGAGAGACCTTCAGCGTCTCCCCAAAAACGTCGGCTTTACCGGAAATCGATTCCTATCTGAGTCGACAGCTCGACAAGAGGATCACCGGCGCAGTGGTGTAGCGCCATAGAGCAGAGCACCCCCCCACCCCTCCCCAACATACACATTCATGGGGAGCCGAAAATGTCCAACACAGTCATGGTACATCTTGCAGCGTCTGCTCCTGTGATACAGTTTGAGGCGATAATGTGCCCTTCAGTAATTAATGACTTTAAATGGGCCAAAGGCAGGCGAGTTACAGTACAGTTTGGAGGGGCAGTGGGTGTTTCTTTTCTGTAGTTGGCATGAAGGGAGCAGGAAGCAGGTGTGACAGGTCACATGACAGGTCACATGACAGGTCACATGACAGGTCACATGACAGGTCACATGACAGGTCACATGACAGGTCACATGACACCCCACCGGCTGAGGCGGTTCCTTACCACAGCAGCGAAGTAAATGGCCATCAGGGGGTGGGAAGCCAGGAAGAAGTCATAGAGTCGGAGAACATGCCGGAACTCCGAGAGCACGTGGCCGTACCACGTGATCAGCCAGCTGAGCGCAAAGATGGTGCCCACTTCTGCCCTGCCGGCGGCAAGACATGAACAGCGACATGAGGGCACGCGGTGCTCAATGGTGCCCCCTAGCTATGTGGACTTGAATCAACCATTCAGCTAAAAATAGAGCGATGATTTTGCAGGTGCTGTTTAGCGTGCCTCAGAGGCAAAGATGCACAAGCGGCGTGCGCGATTATTCAGAGCAGGAATCCCAGGCCTCAGGGTGACGATTCAGCGCAAGGAGAAGCACGCGGCTTAGCCTGCCACCCGGCTTACGCAGAGCGACAAACACAACTCAGGGCGTAGCTCAGAACCCTGCACCTTTAAGCTAGACTGATACTGCTGATACGGGTGTGATGAGCCAGGAATGGTTTCAGGGAAGTGATTTTCCAAAAAGGACGAAAACATTGAAAATAGAGGGAAAAAAATTATGCATATAATCATGTCCTATCAGGAAAACTTCACGTTCCATAATTTACAAAGCAGATGCTCCTATCCAAAAACAACATGGGTTTGGTTTTTTTTCTGAAAAACTAGGGTCAGCCAGTACCTGGGGCAACTGGGGGCTGAGGGCCTTTCTCAGGGGCCAAACAGTGACATCATTCTGGTAACCCCAAGATTTGAACAAATGACCTTCTGATCACATACACATGCACGGGTCCTAACCCGCTAAGCCACACAGCCCCCCATCATTCGAGGGATGAGGATGGAGTGAGACGCTGTTAATCTGCAGAGCCGCGCGGGCAACGCACTGGACGGCCACGTCACACTTCTCTGGTCCTGCTGTCCTGCAGCCTTGCCCAGTAGTGTGGGGGGGGGGTGGGGGGGCTGCGGAGTCTTTCTAGCAGGACTGCGGCAGGAACAGCAGCCACCCGAAAAGCGCCATGGGTGATGCCCCCTCCCCACCTCAGCGACACGCCTCCACAGTAGGCCGGACCACCCAGCCACCCGTAGCTCCGTTCTGCTGCAGCAATCCGGGACCCCAAGATTTCGGGAAATAAGCACATTTCAGAGACGTTTCGTCCCTTTAACTCGGCATGGCAGGAGGCGACAGGTCGGTTACCAAGACGACCTGGTGCCATTAATAAGGCCTACGGCTATCGGGACAGCTTTCTAATTGCCCAGGTAATCGTCATGGTAACTTGGTGTCCGCTGTGAGGTTAAATCGGAAAATAAACACACATGGAAGCAGGAGGGCCAGGGGCGTCTTTGTGGCTGAAAATATAGCTTGGAATGACTCGGGTGAAACATATTTGTCTAGCTTAGCTAAAGACCGGCAGCGGGTTCATTCGAAACGGCAGATAATCCCCCTCCCCCCTGGTGAGAGACCCCTGGGACGCTCCGGAGATACGAGGACACGTCACTCTGTCCAGAAGTCTGCCGGTAAACTTGCTACCTCCTCCAAAGAAACAGACATTCATTATTTACTACGAGTCACTTATTCCCTAAATTTTAAATGTCAGATATCTTAAAAATAGCTTCTTTTTATATCAAGCTTGCATGCAATGTTTATAAGAAAGCCACTGGGTTGTTCAAATAAAATGCAGTTGCTTCTGAATTTTTCTGTAACGCTTTGTGTAGCTACTGGGTCTCTGTGTAACGCCTTTATTTATGCTCCTGTAGTATGTTACATGTTCTTACCATATGTATGTTCTAGCTGTGCTTTGACAAAATCTCCTACTCAGTTCCGTCCTACTCACAATGCCACACTGGCACAAGAGCAATAAAAATCCTCGATCCTTTCGAAAAGTCAGTTCTGTCAGCCTGAAGCTCAGCTTTAGCTGACTGCTGCCCCCTCTGGTAGAAGCTGAACGGTGCCATGCGACGCTTCATGCTCCCAGCACAGCGGCTAAGTAACGACCGAGTGCAGCAGGCCCTGCCGGCCGGCTGATAAACATCCCGGCAGCTTTTCAGACGGTTTAATTGGCAAACGGAGCCCGACTGTGCCCCCGAACACAGACGGCAGCCGGCCGGAGCGCTCCCAGAGCCTGACAGCTTCTGGAAAAGGTACGGGACGACTCCCCAATTAAACACCCTAATGGTGCACTTCCTTGTCATTTTAATCAATTATTCACATGCAGCTATAGGGAAGAAAAGCCACGTAACGAGCAAACGAAGGTCCTGCAGCAGTAGAGTGCCGCCACCCTACCCATCCCACCTGGCCAGGTGAGGGGGGGGGTGAGATCAATAGGATAGATTTTCTTTGTATCTCTTACATTTGATCCGTTGCAATTAATATCTCTGCTACCCTGCATCCTCTAGCCATTTGCTGGAGGGGGGGGGGGGGTATTGTCCTTTTTCCCCATGAGTGGAAGTGATTCATTTAGCAGGATCACTGCAAGGTTTTTAAAGTAAAGAAAATAGGGGGGGGTCTACAGGGTAAGACACAAATAATAAATTCCCAGTGGTCTCGCTTTGTAAAACCAGAGATTCTAATGGGAACCATAAAGAAAGGGCTCACATGCCCCCCCCCCCCAAATATGTGCACTATATGATTATCCCTCAACATCCTCTCCTGCATTCAGCCGGCCGCGAAACTACAGAGTCTGCAGTAAGGAGTTCCTGAAGGAGCTCTGAAGGAGACTGCATGCACATGCACGTGACGAACGGCACGCAGTACAGACCGTCTCCTCCCACACCCACCCCATGCCAATTTCTTTCCAGTATCCTGAGTGGTCTTTCCAGGCATCCATTACCTACGAGAGTTCAATTAGGGAGCTAAATTAATCTGGGGGGAGTGGATCGATCAGGAGCAAGGTGGCTCTAATGTCTGAGCAACGAGACTGCAGACGCTATCCTTTCATAACTGCGTCCATTAATGCTTCTCCATCACGCAAGACGGCAGGCCAATTCAACATTGTCCATTTTACCCACAATTCCTAGTGAGAGAACGCCCATACCTCAGCATGAAGCTGTGCAGCTCTGGGTCTACCTGCTCCAGAATGGGCATCAGGTAATTCAGGATGTGTTTAGTGCTGTCCATGGTTGGGTCCATAAAGTCCCTGTGGACAAGGGGGCACACGGTTCTGTGACATCTGAGCTCCTGTGTCACAGAAATCAAGGGTCATAGGTCACGCCCACCTGAGGTGGTGCTTGGACAGGGTCTCCACCATGGCTATAGACATCCTCTCTCCCACCACCAGCAGGAAGGTCACGACAATGTCGTGGTAGCCTTGGTAGTAGTGCAGCTGGGGGTTCCTCCGCAGGACATCCAGGATGATATCTATGAGCTGCTCCTGGAGCACCTCCCTCTGCTCCACGCGCATCCCTGGGGAGACAAGCCAAGCTTCACCTCATCTTGTGACAGGCTGCACAGAGGGCAGCGTCCGCATCCAGCCATTCAGCATGCTTTTTAACGTCATGTGACTGATCAAGACCAATCAATACCTGTGGGAAAGCGGCGCATAGACCTCCTGACATCCATGAGCACCTGGTTGTAATCCTTGTGGCTTTCACGGACATCTTTGGCTGTTAATGAAGAAAAAGTCCTTCATTAACCAAATGCAGTAATAAATATATGGCAGCAGTCAGAAGTCTGGATGTACCTACTCAGAATCATTTGTTTGTCAACAAGATAATGATCCTAAGCACACTTCGAGGTTATGTAGTAAGTATTATCTTCTTAGCATGGAAAGACATGGAGTGCTGTGACAGATGACCTGGCCCCCACAATCCCCCAACCTAAAGCTGGTTTGGGATGAGTTGGATCAAGGAGTTCCAAGCAAGGTAGCCAACTTGTGCCTAGAACTTATGGAAACTCCTTCAGGACTCTTGGAGAAGCATTCCGGGTGGCTACATCAGGAAGCTGGCTGAAAGAACGCCAAGTCTGCAATGCTGTCACCGAAGGAAAAAGGAGGTATTTTGAAGAGCGCAATATCTGAAAAAAATTTGAGATGTTCAGCACTTCCCTTGGTCGTTGCAATATTTGATGTGTTACTTCATTGCCTCCACGCCTTGTACTATAAGGGGAATAAGACACCTAAATTGTATATAAATGCATTAAAGGTAGGTATGTCCAGAATGTATAACTAGGGGAGCATGGTGGCATTGTGAGTATCACTGTTGCCTTACACCTGCAGGCCTGCGCGTGTTTTTATATTCTCCCCAGAAACGTGGGGGTTTCCTCTGGGTCCTCTCCCACAGTTCAGGGGCATGTAGCTAGGCTAACAGGTGTTTCTAAATAGCCCGTATAACCTACAATGCACTGGCACTCCATCCAGGGTGAACCATAGGCTTGGATCCTGCCTGGGCCCCCCCTCCCTTGATACTGACCAGGATAAGCAGTTAGAAGATGGATGGATTGATAGATGGATATCTACATCTCGGGAAGGTTCTGCATCACAAATCAGTGTGCAGTAGTCCTTAACATACTTGGACGTTTGTCAAAGCTATAAAACATACATCACAAATGACAGCATGCAAGCAAAAACACCTGCATTAACATCTGCCTTCTGGTGATAAATTCAGTATGGGGAGCAGAGGGTTCATCAGGCCTGGCACTCGTCTCACCTGGCTTGGCCGGCAGGTTGTAGACATTGATACTGAGCAGCTTGGGCCAGACTTTCCTCCTGATCTCATCGGTAAGCAGCCCACCTTCACTAACAGCTGCCCTGCGCAGGCTCTCTATGTCCACGGGGTCGCTGTTCAGAGCCTGGTGGATCTGCACCAGCTTCTGCCTCTTCTGGGACTCATGCTCTGTACGATACATTTGTAACCAATACAATCAATAACGAGTAAAAATCAATCAATGTTTTGCATAAGCGTAAACAGATAAAATAAAGACATTAAGTAAACCAGAATGTCAGTGGGGATTTAAGGTATAATATTCAGATTAATATTAAGAAGGAGTACTTGAATTATTTTAAATAAATGCATATGCCACGTCTGATGAGAAGGTGTCTTTCTTTCTATGTCACGTCCAGCGCTCCTCCCTCTTGGTCAGAGAGTGCCAAGCGTCACTTTTAAAGAGACAGTATGGAAAACCTTCAAAGTGTTTCACTAGCTATTGTTTTTTTTTATAACTGTGCGATATATTCTATTATAATGGCACACGGGAATTTATCTGGCATATACATCTACTGATGTTAAAAATTATGAATAAACAGCACAGTACCACATAAACATCACACGTTGTAAGGCACAGATTGTCCGGTAGTCGGACAAGCAACTACGATATGAGTGCGCTGTGTAATTTAACACATATCGATATAGTCCTTCATATATCCAACCAAGGGCTTGAATCTCACCTTGTTTCTTTACCTTTCCATTTTCAGTCACGTTAGATCCGATACTATTTTGCTTCCTTCCCTTCCTCATTTCTTTTGAGAAATCTAAATTATAAATATACACATCGTGGTGTCATTGTGTTCTACACTCTCAACTGAGGTAAAAGACAAAAGGGAAACAAACAAACAGAATACAAATTATTGACTGCCGCCTGTCACATAGCCTTGATAGCGAAACCCACCTTGACCATGCAAAGGCACTGACCCACTTCCCTTTTACCGATTGGCTTAAGAGAAGAAAACGTACAAGTAAGGCCTCTGATTGGACAAGCTTTATGATTAGCCCAACCTTTGAAAGACTTTTAATGCGCAATGCATTATGGCTATTGTAGTTTGTTTCTTCCGTCGTCCGCTCCTCTGTAATGATAACAGAGATAATCGGTTGTACTAAAGACTTAGTAATTCGGAATTACTAAGTCTTTAGTAATGATTGATAATAGATAAATTGAATTAATTTAAATTTCTCATTTATAGTAATCACGGTGAGAAATGTGAATCTGTGAATTCATTCTCCCTGGGAGGATTGTTAGTAAATCTTATTTTACAGAGTTTATTTTATAACAGTGGTGATCTTAAAACCAGTTTCCTGGTTTGTGATTAATGGAAAAGGCTAGCAGTGACTGAAGATTTTAGGTTTAGGTTAATATACTGTTCGCTAAAAGACTACAAGTCCCATAACCACTCGCTTGCTGAGGGTCCTTTCCGTTCAAAGGTGCCAAGGATCGCTCCTCCTCGCTTCCTGAACCAGTGTGATAGTGCGGGTCAATAACAGGGCACCGTGATCATTTCACAGATGATAGCCGCTGTTGAAGTGAGCCTCGGTAAACTTAAGGGGAACTTTGCCATGCGTGGGCTTAATGCACCTTGAAGAGGAACATGGGAGATAACAATGATCGAGGCCAGAATACCCGCAAAAGAAGGACTACAATATCTGGGGCAGGGGTGGCAACTTTGAAACGAGGGCATGGGAACAAGTCCGGTGCGTGTGAAAGCATCGCCGCCAACCACAGCAATGCCAGTAAGGAGGACAAGGTGCGCGAATCGCCCACGACATCGCGGAAAGACAAGGGAAAGCATGAAGACTCAGGTGATAAGCTCAGGTAAGGGCTATAGCTGGCCGTTTATGGCTGCTGATCCTTACCCAGCTGTATTTCTCTGTGCACTGTGCCTGTGCCAGGATGGCAGCTGCCTCACACTCAACGTGGCATGTCTGACTAAACGGTTTGCAACCTTAACGCCATCATTACGACCAGACATGTACGTACAATCAACAGGACAATTCCGATAGTTTAGGGTCAATATCAGCATGGCTTTGAACTGATCCTTGGTCTTCGGCGTCTTCAGTGTTTCCAAGGATTCATTCATCCATTCGTTTCAAGGCAGGCGCTGGGCAGGGGGCTCCTTTGCTTGGGGCAACAAGTGTCTTTTGTCGGATGGCTGATGACAATGTCTGCCGTGCCTCTAACGTGGCGCCTATGTGGGTGAAATGTCAGCCTGCGCAGATGTTGCAGCGGTTTCCCAACATTCCCCACATTCATTGTATTAGCCAGTTCTTGTCAGCTAATGTGATCGTCAAATTTGTGATTCTGTTCTGCAACGCAGCTCAATGCAGGAGCCCAAGCTGATACTGAGTGTGGTTTGAGTACGATAGAGATACAGGCGATCTATATTTGCAGCATCAAGAAACATCTCCTAAGTCTAGAAACCTAACTAGGTGGAAGCATGTCTGTAATTAGCTGCATTTTTGTACTCCTGCTCATTTTCTGGGAATTGCACTCATCCTGCCCCAGGTCAGTGGAAGTGAGCGTCAAATCAGGCACAGTCAGGTTCAGTTGTCAATATTACTATTTCGCCCGAAATCTCGTGTTTAATAAAAGCGGCGGCTCCCGCGAAGACGTAACTCATTCTGAGATGTGACACACAGTGAGCAGAGGCGCGCAGGAAAGCCGTGGGTTATTGCTCACATGTGTCATGTTATGTCAGTCTGCGAGGCTGGAAAGTGTGGCAGTTCCCTGCGGGTTTGGCATTTGTCATGGGGGGTAGGCTCGTAAGGGAACGCTTATCTAGTGTGGCACCTTTAAGATAACACTGTGTGTCTTACAACAGCGCCAGTCAAACTCAACCAGATGGATCAGATTTATGTACTCTGAGGAGTTTGCTTTTAGTACACTGGAAAAAATAAGCCATACATTAATATATATGCCTACCTGCCTATACTCTGCTGCCTTCTACTTCAGTTCCTGGCACCGATGCTTTGGACTGAGACCTTGTTTTGCCCGGTTCCTGCCAGAGGAGGGCGTGGTGTCTCTTAGAGTCCAGTGGCCTGTACTACGAAGCGGGGTTGCTGGCTTATCAGGGTAACTTGTTGGATTTAAGGTACCACAGTTTAATTGGACTTCATATTCGTTCACCTACATTTTTCCCAGACTACCTTAAATCCGACAAGTTACCCTGATAAGCCAGTAAGCCTGCTTCGTAGTACAGGGCCCAGTTCTCACCTCAGGGTTTAATCCAGTCATTGGGGGAGTGTTTCCTTGCCACTGCCATTTCAGGCTAACTCTCTGGGGACATCAGGACAACATGCAGTGCTTTTTCACAGTGGTCTTTGTGAAAAGTCATATATAAATAAAATTGAATTGAGATTGAATTTTTTCTGCTATAGTCTAATTTTTTTGGTTCTGTCTCCTAGTTGCCACCGGATTCAGGAGTCCCTGCTCAGCTCAGCCAGTGGCTACAGCAACTATCGGGGCATCCTGAACTGGTGCGTCGTCATGCTGGTGAGTAGCGGGTCGGACACTATCGGGCCTCAACCCCACAACGTACTGGTCGTCTCTGAGAACCCGACTGTCATCAGTTCAGATCCCAAAGGCATCAGTTTTTAGCCTTATATGGGAACAGCCAAGGAAATCTTTTCAAAGCTTCCAGATATCTCTCAGCGTCTGTGCCGTTCCTGTGCACCGTGGTGACGTATCACAGCAGAAGCTGAAGACCACCTTTCACACTGAAGGTCTCTACTGGTTTCCCCTTCACCTTCTCAGTTCGGTACAGTTTAATGCATTAAAATAACTTCAGTCATAACTTGTGTTCCTCAAACTTTAAATGCTGTTCTCTGGACAGGAAATGCAACTCACAGATACCACCTATAAAATGGGATGCTGGTTATGACACTTTGTAACTTAATGGCTGCTTATGTTATTTTATATTCATAATATACATAAATATATAAAGAATAAACAGATTTAACATCTCTCTATAATATCTCATAATGAAAGATGACAGGTGACATTTTTTCTGATAAGAAGGTTGCAGTTTTCTGTTTATGAGGCATGTTTGACAGCTTTCAGTATAAAATATTTATTTGGGCTGGAAATGCACCCCTAAGGCCTCGATTCACTCTGCCTGTCAGTGAGCCGCTGAATCTGGAGGAATATTGGTTTTGTGCGGACAGCGTGGGGTTCAGCAGCCATGATCTGCCTGTTGATCTGTATGAAATGGCAGCAGTGAGGGCACGGGCATGAGGGAATCGCGATAAGGACGCAGCTCCTCAGATAGCGAGCCAGCAATAACACACTGGGTGCCTGTCGTCCTCTGGGGAGCTCCTGTGATTTATAGCGGCAATGGGCTTGAGAGGAATTTGACCAGAAGCCAAGGCAAGGCGAGGCGAGGTGAGGTCACAAGTCCTCCTGGTACGAAATGGGTGCCTGGAGTGGCTCGGAAACTTCCGGAACCGTCTTGGATCAGGATGTGTACGGGGAGATGCCTTCAGGCCATACTAGCTGAAAAGAAAGTGGCCGAGGGTCTGACTGAAGGTTCGAGTGTGGAGCATATAACCCGTCATTCATAACCCCCCCCCCCCAAAAAGAGTTTCCAACAGGGCTGACAGAACGGTGCAGCTGGATACCACGAGTTTATAGCATGCAAAATATGTGCAAACTGCAAATGGAACTCTTTGAGAATAACACAGCCGCTTACTCAGCCTCTCATTAAAGACCTTTGGTGGGTAGGTACCATGACGCGGGTTTGTGCGGGTTTGTGCGGGTTTGTGCGGGTTTCTGGGGCTGAGGCAGCATTAGTGTGGATTGGGACAGCTCTCTCCTGGAGGGAACTTTGCTCTATTTTGATCGCCGTTGCTGTCCCAAGGCTGCAGACCAGCGGGGCACCATTAATGGGGACACTATCTTCTATCTGCTGCAGGTTTTGTTTTTTGCCCCCCTGCTCATTTAACAAATCCATGAACCATGGGTCCTCCCCAAACCCAGCCATGGGCAGTAATACTGAAGATGACTCCATGGTTCTTGAAAGGTTTGCTGAGATTATTTTTTTATTGACGTGGTTTCAGCTTACTCTGCCGGCTCATAATTTCAGACCTGACCTGCAGGGTAGCGTCTTTAGTCGGTCGTTGGCTCTCGTCAGGACGCTGCACAGGGCTGCTTTGTGTCAGTCTCGCCTTTCGGGGGGGGTGTGGAGTGGCAGGAGTGTGCCGCACCCCGGCTGTGAAGGGTAGCCAGAGCAGCCTCTCTGTTTTGGGAGACGTGGAACTGGCGTGAGTCAGGCGGCTGACCTCGCCCGGTTGACGTGGCACTTCCTTGCACTTGGCAGGCTGCCTTCCCCCATCGCTGAAGTCCCGTCCATTACAGAGCCAGTCAGGCCCAGTGATTAAAGGCAGCTGTTGTCACAGAAACCAGGCCCCACCTCCTAAGCTGTTAACATGCCTTATAGTTTTAAATACAGTTGCATTACTGCATTGTATATGTGTTTTTTACAAAAAATATTCAATGTGCTTATATCCGGGTTACCAGAACAGTCACCCTCCTGGGACTGGATGTTGTAGCCATTCTGTTGTGATTTCTACTCCTTAACCATGATGCCACCTACTGCTTTTTCTATGAATGGCAAGTAAATTCTGGTCCAAAAACAACAGTCTTGTTTCTTTAAGTATTGTTTTTCCCTGTCAATTGCACCTCCTTGATCTTCATAAGAACGAGCTTATAGCAAAAGAAAATTTGGCCAATCAGGTTGCTCGTTGCTGGGGAGGCAGCGGCTCAATGCGGGGGTGTAATTTCAGCAGTTTGCGGGACCCGGCACGTGGCGGTCCGTTATGGGCGCGGCATGCAGCAGTGCCAAAGGAGAAAGATGGACTTAAGCTGTCCGCCTCTGCAGCTGCCTTCTGGAAACTTCTTAACTTTGCCTGACATTGTTTTTTTTTTT